AGCCTTCCCACCATGAGTCACCCACAGGTCTGCCGTTTGTGTTCATGTACCTATTTCTGTGCGTGAGAGAAAGTCGGGCAGCTGAAACATGGGGAGGGTGCAGGGAGGCTGCAGGAGTGGGCAGAGGGGTGAGCCGCTGGGGAAACCCAAAGGCCACATCGCAGAGATCTCCTGCTGGCTCCGCTCCTGCCCACCATCCCCTGTGGCTGGTGTCCTCCAGGGGGAAGTCCAAAAGCTTTAGTCCAAAAGCTTCACCCACCCACTTTCCCCCCCAGGATCCTTCCTCTCCTTCATCCCTCCGACTCATCCAACGCTCGAATCACACAGGACCACTGGCTTCTTCCTATTCAGTGAGATCCCCCTCTCACTGAAATACTCCTCTCCCTTTGTTCCTGAGAAACTCCTACACATCCCTCAAAGCCCAGCTCCAAAGATCCCTCTTCTAGGAATTCTTTCTAACTGCCCTTTATTCTGGGTTCTCACAGCACCGCAGGCCAACCTCCACCACAGCTTCAGAGCCACGCAGGCTGAGACATTTGAGCATCCAGGAAAAGGGGGTGGTTGAAAGGAAATCAGCCTCACTTCCAGAGGCGTTTGCAATCAGCCGGGTATGGAGTTTATCTGCAGCTCCCGCCAGTCCCCTGTGCCTTCCCCTCCCTGACACTTCTCTGTCTCGCAAAAAATAGCCGTGAGACCTAATTTCAGCGAAACCTTCAAACATGACTCTCCACTTTCAACTTCCCGAGGAGGAATCAATTGGCTGTCAAGTTTCCCAGCGCCTTGCCACCTCCCGCACCCAGGCCCTGTCAGCTCTCCTCAAGGTCGTTGGGAAGGGGTGCGGGCAGAGGAAGGACCTGGACTGCAGCCGGGGAATGCAGGTCTGGGGAAGCCAGTGGGCTGAGGGGAATCGGGGGAGACCTGTACCAGTCACCATCCCCTCACCCCCAAATCAAACCATGAATTCCTCTAACAAGGGGTGGCAGGCGAGAGGGGGCAGCACCCTGGGCGCAGCCTGACAGCTTGCCACCTGCCTTCCTTCCCTTCCGCCGTCCCTCTCTCCCTCCCAGGACTCTCTACTAGTGCAGCGAAGACGGGCCTTGGTTTGAATCTTGACCTCACCCTCTCTTGGGGGCCTGAGAGCTGAAGGCCAGAGAAGGACAGGAGGTCCATTTGGTCACCTGCTCCCAGCTCATTTCTCCATCCTACCCTTATCCAGGGTCCCCCGTAGTCCCACACCGGCCTGCTAGCACCATATGGCCCTGGGGAACCACTCCCCCACCCCCAACTCCAGCTGCAGGCAGAAGGAAGTTGCACCAGGTGGACAAAAGGTTCCCAATCTTTTCCAAGTCGCAAAGCAGATATGAGGCCCAGCCCCGGGTCTGCTGAGTTTACAGCTCTTCTCTTAGTGACTGCATCAGAGCACTGAAGCGCCTGCTGCATGCCAAACCACATGCTGCCTTCCGAAGTCCACTCCCCTCACGGTGCAGAGGGTAAACTGAGGCTCTGCCAGGGTCCCGGGCCCCTGAGAGGTGGAGATGGAACCAGCACCGAGCCTCTGGTGTCCTGTGGGGTGCCTGCGGTCCTAGCCTGACCCACCCAAGGAGCAAGGGCCACTTTTAGGGTGCAAACAGCCCAGACTCAGAAGCGCCCCCAGCTGGATAGTGACCCTGGAACAGGGGTCAGCTTTCATGGAAGAGGTGAATAGGATGCGTCCAATAGAACCCAGAACACTGACTCTCCATTAACCAACAGGGTTGCAAAGGAGCATGCACCCCTGTGTGAGGTGGTGACACCCCATCCTCCAGTTTGAAATGGCAGCGAAGACAGCAGTTACTCGGGGATGTCCTGAGCTGTCTCCCCTGCCTCCCCCGGCAACACCACGTCCCCCAGGGACCCCACCAGGCTGCACACAGAGCAGTCGGCCGAGCACGTGGGAGTCGGTGGGAGCCCTGGCTGAGTGGGAGAGGATGTGCTTCTGGTCCTGCAAAGGGTGTGGGTGCCAGTCTGTTCCCAAGGCCCAGGCCAGACCTCCCCCTCAAACACCCTGCCCTCTGCTGTCCACCCCGACCCTCCCCCGGTCTTTCCTGTGCTGGAGCCACAAAGGGGAGCACCATCAGCCCCAGTGATGGATCTCACCTACTACGCACCTATCCAGGGTCAGACGGGTGGATGCGAAGGTCACACAGTCCTCCGAGGCAGGCATCCACACGTCACTGACAAGAGCAGGAGGCTCAGAGGATCCCTGACTAATGAGGCCACGCAGGTCGCTGAAGAGCTGGGATCTGAACCCAGACCCTACCTCCAATCTTTCCAGCTCAGGACAGAAACTCAACTCACAACCATTTCCTAAGTGCTGCACACAGCAAAGGACCAAAGTGCCCAGAGAAGGACACAAAACGTAAATGTCTGGCAGCCCTGGCACCCAGGCCTGGTGATGTCACTCAGGAGCAGCAGGACACCGGGTGGACACATTCTCCTCTCTGAGCCTCAGTTCCCTCATCTGTGACCCAGGAGTACTAACAGCGCGCCCCCTCAGGGGTGTGGTGAGAGGTGGGTCAGCGAGGCCTGAGCACAGCCCCAATCCCGCAGACCCTAATCGGGCAGGCGGGCCCAGGAGTCCCGGGGGCCTGGCGGTGCAGAGGGCTGGCACTGGCTCTGATCCGCAGGTGGTTTCCACGCCAGGAAACAGAGCAGAGACGCCACGACAGGAAAAATGCCAAGTCTAGCTGGCAATTAAAGAGCTGCAAATTATAGCAACTTCAAGGTGTGATGACACACCTATTAGAGCAGCAGGAGAAAAAAAAAAAAAAAAAAGGAACAGGGTAAATAAAAAGTGATGCTGAAGGGGTGCTGGGAGGACATTGGGTTTCTTTTCCCAGCAAGAGGAAGTGCATGCTCATGCTCTGTGGCCAGACAGTCTGGGTTCAAATCTTGTTCCACCATTAGCAGTTGGTGCTTGGGTGACTTCACTTCCCTGAACCTCAGTTTTCCCATCTGTAAAATGGAGTGACCACAAAATCAGCTGCAGGGTTGTCTCAAGGAGTCAAAGAGGACATATGTGTAAGACCCTGAGCTCAGAGCAGCTGGCTATGTTGTTAGGTGTCATCGTTCCCTGAAGCCCCAGCTGTCGTGGCTCCGGGGATCCAGGGAAGGCAGGACCAGCCTCTATTCCAGTTGACTCGAGTCAGGTCAGTGTCACCCATGTGCCAGCCTTCTGGCCCTGCCTGCAGGCTGGAGACCATCTCCCAGGCGTGTGGCCACACCCAGGAAAGGGACTCTGAGTCCTCTCTCAGCACTGGCTATCCTCCCTCCTCCTACCCTTCCCTCCTGGAGGCTGATTCAGAGGTTGGGGCTCAGAACTACTCCTTCGTGGAGCTTGTTAAGATGCAGATACCCAGGCCCTGCCCTGGCCCCACCGCACTGAAATCTTGAGGAGGCCCCAAGAACCTGTTTTGACAGCATTTGATGACATATCGCCAGGAAGGAGAACCAGTGGTCCTGAGGAAAACCCCATCTCCCTCTGCCCCCCTTTCCCCATCCCCTCGAACCCCCACCCCCCAGCCTGGCTCAAAGGCTCCACCTGACCCAGACTCAGCCCAAGTTCCTACCCTGTCCTCCAGACCCCTCCCTCCGATCCCACCACGTATGTCACCATTCTACAAACAGGTCCATGTCCAGAGTGCCTCCATGCCTTTGCAATTGATGTTCCCCTACCTGGATTCCCTCTCACTGTCCCTGTCTACCCAGTGTCTAGGGCCCCTTGAAGACCTAGCTCAAAAGTCAGCTCCCGGGGGAAACCCTTCCCAACCCTCAGGAGCAAGTTAGTCACTCCGAGCTCACCTGACCTCCACATCACAGAGTAGGGTGACAGCCAGGCCTGTGCCCTCTCTGTTTCCTCCATCAAAAGCCTCTTTCCTCTGCTCCCCAGAGGGCTGGTTCCTCACCCCTTGGGACTCAGCCCCGATCACACCACTTCAAGGAAGCCCTCCTGGTTTCCCGATTTTCTCCTGCATATCGTGAAGCTCCAGCGTGACAGCATGAACGCAGAGGCCAGGGGTCTCATCTACCTCGCCTGTCCTGGCCAGCCCCTCCTCCTCAGCCCCAGCCCCAAGAATGGTGCCTGGCGCACAGCAGGCACTCCATAAGAATTGTTGAATGAATGAATGGATGAACAAGTGATCAAAACTCCATTTCCCCTACATTCTGTAAGCTCCCCGGGGGATGAGGGGTGAGATAAAGTGTCTACTCTCCAGTCTCTTGTGGCTAGCAGAATACTGGATGGGGAACACGTAGTAACATACTATACGGGAGAGCAAATGGACACAAAACTGCCTGTGTGTGAGCAGCAAGACCAGTGGGGACACTGAGGGGCACGGAGAGTCAGATATGAAGGCTCCTCGGTTCTGTTTCTGTAAAGTTGTTTAGATTTGTGCTAGTGGGACCACTAAAATAAACAGCTATAATATATATATTCTGTGTTTTGTGGATTCTAATAGGCCATCAATTTTAAGATACAGCATTATTTTATGTGGGACCAAGAAAACACACAGCAATTAAATTATGACACATCATGGACTACAACATGAGAGATCTTTAAAATGTGGGAACAACAGCTGTGCATCTCAAGAGTCGGGGAAGCATGGTGTTGTTGTGTGTTGTGTGTGTGTGTGTGTGTGTGTGTGTGTGTGTGTGTGTGAGTTCATGCATGTGAAGGTGTCTTTATCTGACCTACCACTGGCCTCTCTCTTCCCAGCTCCGGTCTGGGCCCCTGGGCTGCAGGGCTGTCTGTCTTCCACCAGCCCCTCCCTCACAGGATGGGACCCCCATAGGGCCCCCAGGGGCGGGGCTGAGCCACAGAGAGGGGAGCAGCCGAGTGATCGGATACCTAGAACAAGGGAGGCTGGATGGTCTCCCGGTCCATGAGGCTCCAGGAAGGGGGGCCGTGGGGTCACAGAGCAGCACCCCAGGCCGGGTGGTGATGGTGACGCAGAGATAGTTACCGTGACCCGGAACGATGCAGCGGCTGAGGGCTCCATGCTGGGGCTCTTCTCTGAGAGGCTGCCGGGCAGGCTGCGTCGGGAGCCTGGCCTTTCTTGGGGCGACTCTGTCAACAGAGGGAGAGAGCGGGTAAGCATGGACCACCGAGGCCACCCGTCAGGCCTTCCTGTCAGCCCATCCTGGCCCGAACACCAGACTGCCATGAACTAAGATAGTCACTGCAAAACACCGTTTAGCAGTTCCCCACAATGTTAAAGACAGAATCAGCACATGACCCAGCAATCCCACTCCTAAGTATATGCCCCAGAGAATTGAGAACAGAGAACTGAGATTTGTATGCAAACGTGCAGTGTGATTCGCAATAGCCGAAAGGTAGAAGCAACGCAAGTGTCCATGAGCAGATGAATGGACAGAGACAGCCGTGCACCCACACGATGGAATGTTACTCCACTGCCAAAAAGAATGAACGTTCTGCCCAGCAGTGTGGCTCAGTGGTTGAGTGTTGACCCAAGAACCAGGAGTTCTCTGGTTCCATTCTTGGTTAGGGCACATGCCCGGTTTGCAGACCCCATCCCCAGGGTGGGGCGAGCAGGAGGCAGCCAATCAATGATTCTCTCTCATCACTGGTGTTTCTCTCTGTCTCTCTCCCCTCCCTTCCTCTCTGAAATCAATAAAAAGTATATTTAAGAATAAATAAATAAATGAAAGGTCTCCTAAAACCCACACTTGGAGCCATCCATCTTGAGAGGCAGTGAGCTCCCTGTGACCAGAGGAATGCAAGATACCCCTTCCAACATGAGAACCTGTGCTCTCTGGCTTCCAATCCAGATCTTCTTTTCCAGGCTTTAAACTAGAGAGAGGTCCGAGGGCCTGGCCGGTGATGGAGTCACGGGGAGCAGCCAGGCGCTCAGCTCTAGCTGGTTACGTCAGTTTGGTAAGGGGAGGGGGGGGAGGGCAGGGCAGCTATAGCTTCCCCAGTTCAAGAGAAGCTGGAACTCTGAGTTCCTCAAAATGCTAAATACTCCGATTTTAACTGGTGACAGTGCATTCTAAACGCCGAGGCCAGCCTGAGCTTGCCTGTTGAAAGCCTCCCAGGTCAGTCCGACCTGGCTGCTCCCTCCCTGGTTCCCCCACACCACGCCTGGCACTGGCTGCTCTCTCCCACCGCTCCAGCAGCGGTCCACAGAGGACCCCCTTCCTGCGCCTTCCAGCCTGAGCCATCCCAGAGGCTGGGGGGGGGACCCTGGTAACCCCCTCTGCCCCCAGCTCTGGGCCCACTTCTGGCTCCTATAGCAACAGCCAAGAGCAAGTCTCTCCTATCAACGTTCTCACTTTGGAGAGAGAGAGAAAGAGAGGGGGGGGGGGGGGAATCTGCGCTTTACTGCAGAACTCCTCACACCCACGCCTAAGCCCTTCCCCGGTGCCCTGCGTGGAGCCTGCTGCCTGGCAGGTGCTTGGGAAAGACCTGTTGACTCAAAAGGAAGAGGGCGAACAGTGTGGAGGTTCCTCTGTGCATGTGAACACGCAGTTACGGTCAGAGGTGCACGCCCAGCACACACATGTGCACATCCACGCAGGAACGCCAACGTAGGTCGGCTCAGACCCATGCCCCAGGTCACGTCCACGTGTGGGCGGCGCACAAACACGGGGCAGATACCGAGGCGCAGGCAATGTTTACACATCCCGGGCCATTCCCTCCGTGCAGCCGACTGGACAGGGGCCCCAGAAGCGTGGGAGGAGAGAGCCCACCCCGCCCCCACCAGGACAGGCGCCCGTGATGAGCTCTGGCAATGGTCAAGCAGACAAAGCCACCTCGGGCCTAGGGGGAGGTGGGCTGTCACCGGTGGGAAAAGGCTCAGGCCCAGCTGACCACCAGGCACTCCTGGGGCGGGGGTTGATACCAGGTTGGGAGGTGGACTGGCCACCCCTGGGCCACCATGACCCCTTCTCAGCCCGGTGACCTCTTCTCTTGCTGTGCTCCCTATTTAGATCCTTCCTAACTTCCTCTGGGATCCCTGCTCGTCTCACTTTAGGGAACACCTCCTTTTCCCTAGTATTTCCCTAGGAAATCTCTCCCCATGCTCACAAGTCTGCCTTCACCTCTTCCCGACCCCAACACCCCACCTCAGTCGCCTCCATAGCCACAGTGTCCTACATGAGTGAGGCACTATGCTCAGCCTCTCAGGAGCTCCCCCTTCCTTCCACCAACACACACACACACATAACACACACACACACACACACACACACACACACACACACAGCCGCACTGCCCCGTCCTGGGCAGGCAGGTCACCATGGCTCTAGCCGGGAGACATAGGAGTCACCCAGGAGAACATGAGGAGCCCAGCAAGGCTGCCTCTCCTCTGAGACCAAGTCCGATGCGCCCTCAGCCTGGTTCTCAGGGGTGGCTTGGTCCAACCACCCATCTTACCCATGAGGAAGCTGAGACCAGGGGAGAGGAACTTGCCCACGAGCCCCTAACCCAATAGGTCTATAGCAAGCATCATCTCAGGGACCCCCGACATGGCCTTAAACTTCAGTGTAAAGCCCATCTCGTCAGGAGGTAGTAAGGCAGTGAGGAGGCCCGAGGGCAGGGCCTGCACTCCAGAGGAGACGGGGGGAGGTCCTTAGTCCCTTTCCAGGCAGCTTCTGCTTGGCCCCAGTTCCAGTCTCCACCCTCTTCTACCCCGCCTTCTGCTCCAGGGGCTGCTGACCGGTGCAGACCACACCAACCAAGCTTCATCAGGTCTGTCTGGCCAACGGGAAACCCTGACGGGAGATCAGGGGAGGGAGGGGAGTCGGCTAGGTCCCTCCACTGAAGTTCCAGCTACCTCAATGGCTGTGTTTCCCGGCTCTCCCCTCCCTCGGGGCCTCGGTGGATCAGCCCCGGCTGTCACTAGCTCTGGGGTCCTGCACTCCTCTTCACTATTCCCCACACCCGCCCACACCCGCCCACACCTCCAATCATCCTGGTGGAAGTGCCATCTGCTTCCTGCTGGACCCCCACGGAGCCACCAGGCGGCATCTCAGCGGCTGAGAACCAAGAACCAACCACTCAGTCCCCATCCGTGCGGCTGACGGAACCTCCCTTCCGTCTGGACAGGAAACCAGGCCTGGGAGAAGCTGCGACATGGTCACACGGAATATCGGGACTCTGCTATTCACCAACACACCCAACCATTCCCGCCAGCCTGCCACGGGCTCTAACCACAGAGTTCGTACCATAACCTCATGGATGCCTGGGTTCTGGGCCAGCATTTCCTTGCCTTTTATTCATTATCTTCCCCTCTAATGAGTCTCTTTAAAGACATTTTTCCTACTGTGTCCCCATAAAAATTTCATATCACATGTATAGAGATATTTTTTACGCACTGCACACATACTGAGTTTTACACAGAAAAAGTTAAATTTTTGTCACCGCCCCTCTCCAAGAACCAATTTTTTGCCCACTCAGGGTCAATATCACCCCCATTGAGAATGCAAGTTCTGGACCCATTCAAATATAATTCTCCCCCATGACAAATGGACAGCCGTGATGAGCTCTTTTTTCCAGATGAGGAAACTGAGGTTCTGAGAGGCAAGTGACTTCCACTCAAGTTCCCCCGGGTAGGAAGTAAGAGGATATGCTGAGAGCCCCTTAAACTGTCCCACATTTAGGCCTCAGAGAAGGCTGATGGTGCCTGGAACAGAGGTAGGGGAGAAGCCCAAGGTTGGAAGAGAAGACAGGATTCAACCCAGCTCTGCTGTGTGCCTCCGGGCCACCCACTTTCCGTCTCTGAGCTTATGGTTTCTCAGCGGTGCAATGAATCAGGGGAGTCAGAGCAGCGACCATCTCTGTTCCCTGCCACCACAACAAAAACAAAACCTCCTTTATTTTCCACAGGCCAAGAGGACGGAAGGTTGATCCCCGAGTCCTAACTCTGCCTCCGGGGATTTAGCCTTGAAAAAACACAGCTGCCTTTGGCCCTGGGTTCAGCCACTTGTCTTTTCCAACTTGGGGAAGCAGACACTGAGAGGCTTGGGCCCCATCCCCCAGAGGGTCTATGCACAGAGGGTGCAGCATGAAGGTGGCATCCCCAGGGACAGATCCCAGGAAGGGAGAACTGGCTGGCCGACCTTGTAGTCTCCCCAAAACATTGGAAGAGTCTCCCCTTAGCTCAGACTCACTCTGTGACCTCCACATGACCTCCCAGGCTGCAGTCTGCAAAATCAGGCCACAGAACCAGCTGATCCTGAATCCCCTTTTCGCTAAGAGGTCAAAAAGAGTCTCCACTGTACCCGGAAGGCCAAGCTGCCCTTCCTATTCCTGGAAACTACAGCCACCAGAGAACCACATTTTAACCTTTTTGGGCTTGCAAAAAAAATAAATAAAATAAAAAATCAGTTTCATTCAGATGCTGCTGGCTTGGTTGCCATGGACACCACCTAATCATGAAGGATGACTGTTACTTGTTCCCATGGCAACATGGAGGCCTGAGGAACATCCTGTAATTTCAGACACGACACCAAATTTTAGTTGTCAGGTTGCAATGACCAGATCTTAATGCTTCAAAACAGGCAGAGGCGCCAGGAGAAAAGTCACCAAAAGAGTAGAAAGACGAAGTGCATGTGTGTGCTGGACCTCAACAGTGGTCAGGAAAATGAAAATTAAAACTACCAGGTGCCATTTCACACCTTGTTCACCAAACAGAGAAAAATGAAAAAAACGCTGCCCTCAAATGTTGACAGGAATATAGAAACACCTTTCCTCACTGCTGGAGAAGTGGAAGGGGTTTGGAGGACAATTAAGACAATAACTATCGAATAGTTGAAACTGACACACACACACACACACACACACACACACTGACTCTGGGACCAGAAATTTCCTTCCTGCATGTCCAGTCTAGAAAAATGCTTCATTGCACCCGGAGATCTGCACAAAAGATGACTCCTGCGCCACTGTTCATAGTAGCAATGTGTTGTAAGTAACCTAAATGTCCACCCATGGGGGGACAGATGACTGCACCCTGAGGCAATTACTCGGTGGAATACTATACAGCAAGGAAGAGGGAACGCCACCAAGGGACACTGTTCAGAACTGCAATGGCACACAACAGTGCT